AAGGCGGCTTCCCCGCTCGCCGGCAAAATGTTCGCCATTCCGGGGCGGGGGCTGGGGGGAAGCCCCCGCGAACGACAAACGTTCTGTCGAAACGTTTGGTCGAAAGTGTAGCCGGAGCCTGTGTCCCTCCCTCTCTGCCTCCCTTCCCTGGCTGACTCCGTTCCTGGACTTTTCTCCTCGTCCGCCTCACATCCACCGTCACCCCATCTTTTCGGTCTCCGTGGGACTCTTGCTTCTCGCCCCTCCCACCCCCTCTTCCTTCTCTTGTTCTTTTTCTCCCTGTGCCCTCCCCGTCCTGCCGCGCCTCACCCCCGTGTCCTCTCTCCAGTCTTCTCTTTCCTTCCCGGGCTCCTTTCTCTCACAGACTTGTCTCCTTCCATAAGAGAGTGGCCATACTGGGCCAGACTGAAAGTCCATCTAGCCCAGTCTCCTGTCTGCCGACAGTGGCTAATGCCAGGTGCCCCAGAGGGAGGGAACAGAACAGGGAATCCTCATGTGATCCCTCCCCTATCACCCCCTTCCAGAGAAACAGAGGCCAGGGACACCGTTCCTACCTATCCGGGCTAATAGCCATGGGTGGACCTCACCTCCATGAATCTATCTCCCTCTTTTCTAAACCCTGTTAAAGTTCAAGCCTTCACCACATCCTCTGGCAAGGAGTTCCACAGGTTAACCATGCGCCGAGTGAAGAAAAACTTCCTTGTCTTTGTTTTAAACCTTCTGCCTATTCATTCCAGCTGGCGACCCCTCATTCTTATATTGTGGGAATAAATAAATCACTTTTTCTCCACACCAGGCATGATTTTATAGACCTCTATCATAGATAGCCCTCCCCCCCCTTAGTCTCCTCTTCTCTAAGATGAAAAGTCCAGGTCTTTTTAATCTCTCTTCATATGGGACCCACTCTTTTCTTGTATTTTGCCTCCCCTCCTTCCTCTTGTCCTGTCTCGTTCTTTTTCTCGGCCTCCCTCTCTGATCTCTCCTTTGCTTTTCTTCCCCTTTCTGCCCTTGTCAGTCTCACGTTCCCTCTCTCCCTCCTCCGCAGTCCTCCTCGCCCCAGTTTTCTCCTTCCCCTCTTCTCTACCTGGAGTTTCCTCCCCTCCCCCATGGTTTGGCTCCCTATTTTCCTCTCCTGCCTCTTCCTCCCCCTCCCTCGCCCCAGGACTGGCCTCATGACCTCTCTTCCTCCTCCCCCTCCTTCCCCCCAGCTCGTTAACAGACTTCAGTTAATTGTGATTAGCGAGGGATTAATTCCCATGGGAACCGATTCGGGAGCCGATAAAATCGAAGACACGCGCACACACGCCAAACGGAGCGGGGGCAGGGTGCCCGGGCCAGCCCCAGAACCATGCCAAGCTGGAGAGGGGTCGGGGTGGGAGACTGCTGGAAACTGGGATGGGGCAGCTAGTACTGCCCCCGATGCCCCGGTGAGCTGCTGTCGGAGTATTTCTTCTGGAACAGCTTATTCCGAAATAATCGTGCAGTATAGACGTAGCCTATGACGGTGCTTGGTGGAGTGAGGTCTGTCATGGAGTGAGGTCTGTCGTGGGGCACCCACGGGCTCTCATATTGCCAGTGTCCTCGGTCAGGCATAGGCGATCCTATCCACAGTGGCCCTGCTTCGTGAACGAGCTGAGGGAATTGGTGGTTCAGTGGGAGGGAAAATCTGAGGTGAAAAAACTGCCAAAAGTCGTCGTCCTCCTTGCTTGAGAATTGGGCGGGAGATCGGCGGCGGCGCAGTGCTAGAGTGCTGCTGAGGAATGGGGAATGAAGTGTAGAGCGGGGTGGGGAATCTCTGGGACAGATCCGGCCCCTGAGGCTCAGGGCTTCCACCCCAGCATTGGGGAGCCGGCGCTGGCACTCCAGCCCCCCTACTGTGGGGCTGGAGCACACAAAATCTACTAGCCCGGGCCCCCCTACGCTCTGGGGGGTGAGGGGAGTGTGGGGAGGGTCTTTCTCCTTCTCATTCAGAAGCCACGTCAGTGAGGCTCAAAACAGGTTCCCCACCCCTAGAAAATTGGAATCCCAACCACGCCTAGTCATTAAACTTTCTGGGACACTTTCCTCCCAAGCTGGGGCATGAATCTCGGTGTCCCCCGGCTACAACTAGACACGAGATTCCCCTTCGCCTCCTGCCCTACACTGCTAGGTCGCTGCTCCCCAGCTGCCCCACCCCAGAGGTGGCTGCATGGCAGGCCTGTACCCAAGGCTCCCCCTCCCCGCTATTTGTGGCCCAGCCTAGCGGTGGCGGGTCAAGGTGGATGCTCTTGTCCTTTCTCTGCAGGAGGGCTGAGTAATCGCATTTCCTGCAGGGTTTATCTCCTGCCAGGGCTTCCGCTCTGCGCCCAGCTGGGAGGCAGGCGGGGGCAGCTTCCTGGCTACCTTCCACCAGAGGCTTAGCCAAAATGGGCCTGCCACGGCTGCGCTGTCCTTAGAGGGTACACAGAGAGTTACTACCTGCGAGATCTGTTATTGTAGGGTCTCCTGGCATTACCCAGACTGTGTGCTGCTGTTTGTTATTGTAGGGTCTCCTGGTATTACCTGGACTGTGTGCTGCTGTTTGTTACTGTAGGGTCCCTGCCGTTACCTGGACTACATGCTGTGGTTTGTAATTGTAGGGTCTCCTGGCATTACCTGGACTGTGTGCTGTGCTTTGTTATTGTAGGGTCTCCTGGCATTACCTGGACTGTGTGCTGTGCTTTGTTATTGTAGGGTCTCCTGGCATTACCTGGACTGTGTGCTGTGCTTTGTTATTGTAGGGTCTCCTGGCATTACCTGGACTGTGTGCTGTGCTTTGTTATTGTAGGGTCTCCTGGCATTACCTGGACTGTGTGCTGTGCTTTGTTATTGTAGGGTCTCCTGGCATTACCTGGACTGTGTGCTGTGCTTTGTTATTGTAGGGTCTCCTGGCATTACCTGGACTGTGTGCTGTGCTTTGTTATTGTAGGGTCTCCTGGCATTACCTGGACTGTGTGCTGTGCTTTGTTATTGTAGGGTCTCCTGGCATTACCTGGACTGTGTGCTGTGCTTTGTTATTGTAGGGTCTCCTGGCATTACCTGGACTGTGTGCTGTGCTTTGTTATTGTAGGGTCTCCTGGCATTACCTGGACTGTGTGCTGTGCTTTGTTATTGTAGGGTCTCCTGGCATTAGGTAATGCCAGGAGACCCTACAATTACCTGGACTGCGTGCTGTATTTTGTTATTGTAGGGTCTCCTAGCATTACAAAATACAGCACACAGTCCAGGTAATGCTAGGAGACCCTACAATAACAAAATACAGCACGCAGTCCAGGTAATTGTAGGGTCTCCTGGCATTACCTGGACTGTGTGCTACCGTTTGTTAATGTAGGGTCTCTTGGTATTACATGGATTGTGTGCTGTGGTGTATTATTGTAGGGTCTCTTGGCAGTGGGGACACGTGCATGTTGGTTTGTTATTTTTAGGACTCTGGTCAGCAATGGGAGTGTATGCAATGGTTTATTAGTGTAGGGTCTCTTGAAGTTACTAGGGCTGTATGTGGTGGTTTATTATTGTAGGGTCTCTTGAAGTTGCTAGGGCTGTATGGGGTGGTTTATTATTGTAGGCTCTCTTAGCCCTGTGGATAATGATCACAAAAAGACTTGTTATTGTAACCATCAAGTCAGCAGTGCGAACTGACATGCACTGCTGCTGTTGTAGGGTCTCTTGTCAGGGTCCAGACTGTGTTCCTGTTCGGTTATTGTAGGGTCTTTTAGTACGGAAGATGTGCACACTGGTTTGTTACTGCAGGGTCCCCGGGCAGCACTGGGGTTTGACATTATAGAGGCTCAGCTGTAGGGCTTTGTGCCACATCTAGTTATTGTAGGGTCTTTCCTCCTTGGGGATAGGCACAGGGGTTACTGAAGAGTGGTGCTGGGACCCAGCACACTGGTTTGTTATTGTAGGGTCTTTCTGGTGCACTGAGGATCCAGCCACTGGTTTGTTATTGTAGGGACTTTTAGTGCTACTTTTAGTGGGTAGATGGGCCCATTGGTCTGATCTGGGACAGCCAGGCAGGAGGCGGGATACCGGGGTAGATGGGCCCATTGCTCTGATCTGGGACAGCCAGGCAGGAGGCAGGATACCAGGGTAGATGGGCCTGTTAGTCTGATCCTTCTCCCCTTTGCCCTGCAGTTGAAGATCTCATTCAGCGAGAGCCAGCTGGAGCGTACCTTCCAGTACCCGTCCGAGGGGTCCCTCCTGGAGGAGTTCGGGCCCCCCGAGGAGTCGGACGCACCAGCTTGTGTCAACCCCCATGGGGAGGAGGACGAGGAAGAAGAGGAGCTGCTGCTCCTCCATCGCGGCCTGCCCGGCGTGCTCAGGACCAAAGCCCTCCTCGTGGGTGAGTCTCAGCGAACTGTGCTGCAAGGAATGGGTGGGGGGCTCCGTAGGGGGCGCTCTCCCCTGGCGGCCAGTGCTTGCCCCAGTGCAGCACTAGGGGGCGCTGTGCTGCAGGGAGCAGGTAATGAACCATGCTGGGAAAATGCTTGTGAAACAGCTGTTGCCCCTGGGAAAATTTTGGCTTGTCCAGCCACGGGCATTGGGGCTCCATCTAGTGGCCAGCTGGGGGAAGCGCCAGGGTGTGGGCCACCGGGAACAGATGCATCCTGCCCTTTCCAAACCGGAGGTCTCTTGCCAGCTGCTCCCTATCCTGTCCCCCCTACAGGAAGGGGAGGCCCTTGCCCTGCCTTCACCCGCATCCCAGCATGCACTGCTTACAACTTCCATCTCTGGCAGGGGGGTGGAGTCCAGTGGGTCAGAGCAGGGGGAGCTGGGAGCCCGGAGGGGAGAATGATCAATGGGTCAGAGAACACCCTGGTTCTGTTCTGCTCTCCGCCTCTGTTGGATTTCCCCCCTCTCCCGTTTCCTTCCTTATTTCCCCGTGTCTCTCTTCCGGCAGATGAATCCTGCAGGCGATAACCCGGTGGAAACCAGCCCCCTCGTGACGGGAGGAGGGGGGATGGGGCAGGTCCAGAAAGCTCCTGATCGGCCCCTTCTCCTTCGTCTTCCAACAACTTCCCCGCGAGAACAAGGACTGGAAGGAATTCGGCCCCCGCCCTCCAGGCGGTGGCTAGACTAGAGAAGCCATGCTCCAGCGTGACTGCTCCCCCAAGGCCCAGCTGGGGAGATGCATTCAAGAAATAAACTGTATGCAGACAGCCTCTAGGAACAAACCCACTGAAGCCAGCAGGGGGTGCTCTGCACCACACGGACAGTGCCGGAGAGCCCATTGCTCCTGCAGCCGTGGGGGGGGGAAAGGCGCTCTTCACCATCCGGACTTTGTTGGGAGAGCCCATTGCTCCTGCAGCCGTGGGGGGGGGAAAGGCGCTCTTCACCATCCGGACTTTGTTGGGAGAGCCCATTGCTGCTGCAGCCAGCAGGGGGATGCTCTAAACCCCATGGACTCTACTGCCGTCAGCAGGTCATCAGGCCTACCTTTTCAGCCAAAGGTTAAAGGTCACACCCCCTCCCCCCAAAATGGGTGTGGATGGACTAATTGTTAGTAGAGGGTGGCAAAGAAAACCACCCCGCCACCATACACACATGCAATTTTTTTTGTAACTCTTGACCCCTTTTTCTAGGGGATGTCATGCAGGTGAGGAACTTTTGCTACCCAGTTTTTACTTCCTAATAATGCTGCCCGGGTGGTCAGAGTTAAGGGGAGTTAGCGTAGAACAGTGGGGGTGGGGTCTATTGGGGAAGGGAGGGATCACTTTGCTACTTGACAAGTCCCACTCATAACTGGAGAGGATCACTGTTGGAGGCGGGGCAATCTACGACTGGGGCGGAGCCACTTGAGACGGAGGCGGAGCCAGTCAGTATTTGGAGGGTGGGGCAAATTGCTATTTTGCAGGGGTGGGAGGGCCATTTGTAAGTAGGCTGGAGCTAGTTACAGGTGGGGCCATTTTTGTATACTTGAGGCAAGCCTAGTTGTGTTGGGGGGGAACGGGGCAGTATGTGGTTCGAGGGTGGGAGCCAGAGCCAGCCAGGATTTGGGGAGGAGACTGGAGGTGGGGGACGACGAAGTGATGGAGGCAGAGGGCGGGCCAAAGGGGTGACTTCCTGTTTTAGCCATCCCACTTCCTCTTTAGGTGGAGCAATTTCACCTCCTTTCATGGGGGCGGGAGGAGGTTGTGCCATGTGACTGTGGACTTGGATGAGTGTGTGGGGACGAGCGTGAGCGTGGAGGGAATGGGGAATTCAGTGTGTGGGGAGGGCAGGGAGTGAGTGGGGGTGGGCCTGGATGGATGGATGAATGAGCCCCTCCTCCGTGAGTTTAGTTCATTCTCGTTATGACTATTTTTTTTCCTTTGCACTGGGGGAAGCAGTCGCGTCCTCGCCCAGGAACGAGGGGGCGAGTGAACGAACAAATGCGGCACGCTCCTCCCCCCGCCCAGAGCAGCCCTGCCCCCCCTCCTGTTTAACCCTCTCAGCAGGAGGCGTCTGTGCCCTGGCGGGGGGAGGGTGCCGCAGCCGGCCAGTTCCAATATTTTTTTTTTATATGTGTTATAATAATAATAAAACGGAGAGATGTTGCACGTGACGCCGCCTCCCTATCATCTGTGGCCCACGTGGTCTGGGAGGGGTGTGGGAGCCTGCAGGACCTGGTGCCCCTATACCTTTTGGAGGTGATCTAGATCCTGCTGTGAGGGCGGGGGACTGGACTCGATGACCTCTCGAGGTCCCTTCCAGTTCTATGATTCTGTGAACGGGGGTGGGGGGTGCTACCGGGACCTGGCTCCTACATGTCCCCAGGAGGTGAGGGTGGGAGCTGCCGGGACCTGGCTCCCATGTACCCCTTGGAGATGAGGGTTTGCCCTGCCAGATCCTGTGCGCCCCCTGGGGGTTGCAGCTCTGCCCTGGACTCGATGACCTCTCGAGGTCCCTTCCAGTTCTATGATTCTGTGAACGGGGGTGGGGGGTGCTACCGGGACCTGGCTCCTACATGTCCCCAGGAGGTGAGGGTGGGAGCTGCCGGGACCTGGCTCCCATGTACCCCTTGGAGATGAGGGTTTGCCCTGCCAGATCCTGTGCGCCCCCTGGGGGTTGCAGCTCTGCCCTGTAGGCCCCTGAGCCCCCATTCACTCTCTCCCGCCCCCTAGTGGTGAGGCATTGACAAGGCAGGATCCCCCACTCCTGCCTCTCCCGCTCACCCCCAACACTCAGACCTCCACACTGGGGAAGACCGTGGCTCTTTCCTGCCCCCTGGTGGCGTGGGTGCTGCACTGCCTCCTAGCCCACGTTGCCCCAGCCTCCGACCTCCGCACTACGTTGCTGCAGCCCCACCAAGGCTGAAATCCCTGCTAGTGTGTCAGAAGGAGAAAATCCCACATGTCCAGGCAACCTTCAGCTGCCTCTGCATCAATGCGCCCTTGATTTTTTTTCCAGCCCTGTGCGGAGTAAATTTTGTTCTATGCACCAAGGCATGTGCAGATGTGCACCACCAGTAGAAACACATGCTGCCGGCTGAGGGCACTCTGCTATTCTGGGCGGCATTTGACTCGCTCTTGGGTAGCCACCCAAGTGCCCAGCTTATAGGGAACGCTGCTTTGCAGCTCCCCCCCTCCCCATAGAAGAACAGTGCTTGAGACAGGACTACAATGAGAATGAAGCTTTGCTGCATGACGCCGTTAAGCTAGAGACAATGACATTACGTGGAGGAAGTCAACGCATATGCCTGGAAATACAGATAAGAGCCGGCTCTGTAAAAACGATGATGATCCTACTTTTGAAGGCAACTCAGACTCTGGTCAATATGGCAGGAAGCCAGCGGAGGTTGTCTGCTGGGACATACGGTAATGTGCCTACTGAAAAATGTGACTCATGGGTCTAGAAGCAGAGTTGACTCATGCCTGGAAATAAGGTAAACAATCAGATGGGACGCTGATTTGTCTGTAAATATGGTAAAAAACGTAGTCGGGAAGTTGACTCAAATGCTAGTAAATACAGAACCTGTGAACTGGGGAGGCAGCTGAATAGGTTTGTAACGGTGCTAAAAGAGAGAGGCCGGAAACTGACTCATACCCAGTTAACTATGGTAAAAATCTGATGGGCAGACACGCAGCTAGTTACAGAAAGGAACCAAATTAGGGCAGCAGCTCCTAAGTGTGAAAACATTGGCTTGTGCAAGGGAAGTTGGGGTTAGAGAAGGGACAGCCAGATAGCTATCATGACAGTGAGCGTGAGGACAACTGCAGCTCCTATACCAATAAAAATGAGGAGCAGGACCATGGTAGCTGCTCTTGTGCAGGTTATAGGGTGCACAGACTGGAGCTGTGGCTCAGACGTGAGCAGTAATGGTGAAGGGCCGAGCTGAGGGGGCAGCTTGTGCATGGGTCATTATGGTACAGGTCCCAATAGTATTTGAGGCTTGTACACTAGTAATTATGGTAGGGGATTGACTTGGAAGGGAGGACCCACACAGTGACCACTACTGACCGCAGCCAGCGCTGTGGCCTCTGCACTGGTGCAGAGCCCGTTCTGGATGTATCCTGTCCTCTATTAATTGCAGTTCAGATCCATGTTAGAGCCCATGCATGGTTAATTATGGTACAGACCTGAATTGGTTCTACAGCTTGTATTACAGTAATTACGGTGCAGGCCAACATTACACAAGATCGCTGATAATGGCACATTCCTAATGTGTGGATTACACCTGCACGTACAGTAAAGAACCTGACTTCTCCATGTGCTGCCTCCCCACCAAACTCCTGTGAGGATCAGCCAGACTGGGCTGTGCTTCTGCCTGCAGCTGGTAGGATGGTAACTGAACTGGATCGATTCATGGGGAATTGATCCATCAATGGCTATTAGCCAGGATGGGCAGGGGTGGTGTCCTGAGCCTGTTTGCCAGAAGCTGGGAATGGGTGACAGAGAAGGGATCACTTGACGATTCCCTGTTCTGTTCACTCCCCCCTGGGGCACCTGGCATTAGCCACTGTCGGCAGACAGGACACTGGGCTAGATGGACCTTTGTTCTGACCCAGCCTGGCCGTTCTTATATTCTTACAGTAAAAATCCCACCCCAGCGTGGGGTGTGTGTATATCCATAATGACAGCATGAGGTGAAAATTGGAGGGGGCATGAACTCCTGTAAGTACGGTAAATGGATAGGTGTGTGGCGGGATGCCATTTGGGTAGAATGTCTGGTTGGATGGAGGGGCTGCTCATGTTATGGTCATTATGGAAGCCAGTCTGGCTGTATGATGAGCAATCCTGTAATTACGGTAAAAGGGGCCCGGCCCGAGAAGGAGAGACTCATATTGCTATCTTAAGGGATCTGTTTGGAGAAGGTGCAGAATTACAGAGTCAGCTGGAGAAGGGGAGGCTCGTAATCCTGTAATTACGGTAGGCTATGTGGCCGGAGAAGGGGCAACTAATTTTCTCACAATTACGGTAAGGTGTCCGCTGAGATGGAGAGGCTCATATTGCTATATTTATGGTAAGAAGCCCGGCTGGAGATGGAAAACTCCTACTCCCGTCATTACGGTAGAGGGGCCTGCAGAAGGGGAGGCTCATATTGTTATAATTACGGTAAGAACTCCTATTCCTGTCATTACGGTAGAGGGGCCTGCAGAAGGGGAGGCTCATATTGTTATAATTACGGTAAGAACGCCGGCTGGAGATGGAGAGACTCCTATTCCTGTCATTACGGTAAAGAGCCAGCTGGAGAGGCGCTTATTGCTTTAATTACGGTAAAAAGTCTGGCTGGAGGCGGGGCCGCTCATATTCCAGACACTACGGTAAGAAGTCGCCCGCAAAAGTGGAGGCGCGTATCCCTGTCCTTACGACCAGAGAGTTTTGCTCGCGGTGGATATTCCGTTCATTACGGTAGCGGGCGAAGGCGGGGGCGAGCGTGGGTTGTTGAAGTCTGACGCCGCTCATAGACCGGTCATTACGGTACAGGGCGTTACGCCGGCGCGCTATGACGATGGCGGAAGCCGTTGGCCCGGGCGGTCACGTGGCCCGGAAGCGGGGTACGGTGGCCCACGGGGGGGTCCGAAGCGGGGGCAGGATGGCGGCGCTGGAGCGCTGGGTGTCGGGCGAGCTGCACGCGCTGCTGGGGCTGAGCGAGCGGCACGTGGTCGCGTTCCTGCTCGGCCTGGCCCGGCGCAGCCGCCGGGCCGGCCA